AACTCTGTATATTCTGATTATCAGTCCTTTGATATATAGCCAGTGAATATTTTCTCCCACTCTGTGGGTGGTCTCTTTAGTTTAGAGACCATTTTTTTGTTGTGCAGAAGCTTTTTAATCTTCATGTAGTTCCCATTTGTCCAGAGGATTTTCTTTGATTGCTTTTTTTTTTTTTTTTGTGGTGCAGGGGATAAAACCCAGGGCCTCACATATGCTAGGGAAGTCATGGAGAATGACTTCCCCAGTATGGATTTTCTTTTTTAAAATGTGCTTTCCTCATTTATGAAATAAGTGCTAAGAGTAGGGTAGGGTTTTGTTTTTATATTGGAAAGGGGGTGAGGTTTGGGGGTAGGTGTTTAGGGCACTGAATAAAGAGAAATGAAATGTGGTCATTGGTTACTTAACATATAAAAAATTGTGCTTGACAAGTTAAGTGTAGTATTTTACCTAATCTTTATAAGATATAAAAGATAGATCTTAGCACCATTTTACAGATGAGGAACATGAGACTCAGAGGGAAAGGAAGACTTCACTGATTCACCATTGAGTTAATATACATGTATGTAGTTGATATGTTTCTTCATAATACCCTTTTTTGGCAGTGCAATATCAGCATCAATTAATTAATAACCAATAATGATTATTATAATGAGTAATGATAATAATAACATTATCATTAATTTGTCTCAACTCAACAAAAATTTGAGTACCTGACTATGAGTCAGGCAATATATAGTGCATGACTTGTTTGGGCGTAATAACAGGTTGTTGTTTGCAGCCAGGGCATGCAGTGGGTAGGGGAGGTTAGCGCTGTCCAGGTGATGGAGGGATAATACTTTGCTAAGAAGTTTTGGACTATTGAAAGATATGCACATGATCAGAATTTCACTTTAAAAGTATTGCTTGCACAACTATTTTTAGACAAGATTTTAGACCAGACAAATTTCCCCTGTGGAACTATGTTAATAACCCCCATCACACATTATGCCCTCTTTTTCCTTTTAGGGACAGTGGAAGGTGCCATGGACTTGATCTTGATCAATTCTCTACCTCTTGTTTCTGATGCTGAAACATCTCTTACCTGCATTGCCTCTGGATGGCACCCCCATGAGCCCATCACCATAGGAAGGGACTTTGAAGCCTTAATGAACCAGCACCAAGATCCACTGGAAGTTACTCAAGATGTGACCAGAGAATGGGCTAAAAAAGTTGTTTGGAAGAGAGAAAAGGCTAGTAAGATCAATGGTGCTTACTTCTGTGAAGGACGAGTTCGAGGACAGCCAATAAGGATACGGACCATGAAGATGCGTCAGCAAGGTAACATGCCCCTAAATTATGAACAGATAAGGCCCACTGGGGCATACCCGTACATTTTATTTTGGCAGCTGCTTCCTTGTAGGCTGCATGAACTCCCTGAGTGTAGAGGTTGAAGATCTTGTCTGTCTCTTCCTAAGCATTGCTATCTCTGGTACACAGAACATTATGATGAGAGAGACCATGCAGTCCAACCTCCTCACTAGACATGATGTCTAGTGAATATTAAATTAAATATACCATTATGTTATACTAATGGCTTCATGACACTTATGAAGATATGACTGTGTTACATGTATGTAATATGAAAATCACAGCAATGAAAACAACTTTTTGTTGCCAAATTATTTTAGGTTTCTTATTGATTTTTAATTGGATACCTTGCTTTATTTGTCCTTAAGCACTAACTGAAGTTAATATATTCAAGAGAAAATTACTATAGAAATAAAAATTTCAAAGGGGAAACATCTATCAGTAATTCAGTTTAATTGTTTAATGATTGTATCATTTATCTATTGCCACAGTACTGTTGTGTAACATAACCAATACTGTTGTAATGGCATGCAACAATAAACATTTATAGTTTAGAGTCTGTCATGTGGGTTGACCAGATGGCTTAGTTAGCCTTGACTGAGGCAAATAGTATGGATTTAGGGAGGGATAAAGAATTGGGACCTTTTTTGTAAGCTACCATTCTGGGAAAGGAACCATAATATAATTTTAATAGTTGAATACTCAGGGACTACTCAGAAAACACTAGAATTTTGAGGAAGGATTTTGAGAACCTTCTTTAAAAGATTACTTCTTGCTACCATATTACACAGCAGGGCTGTGATGGAGTACTTCCAAAATGGAAGCATGTCCAAAGCTAAATCTTTAGCTCAGTCCACCAATGTCATGATAGGTAGAGAAGCTGGTGTTGCAAACAATACTTAGTAATTGTGTCCTAACGTTCCTTGGCATAGAATTCTTGTGGTTTGGATGCTGTCTGCTGCGAGGAAGGTACAGAATTTCAGCCATGAAACCCTTTCCTTGATCTCCCTGGAATAATCTGGCCCTTTACCTACCAGTCATCTTTTTTGGGTGGCTTATACCTAAAATAAAGGAGTCCTTTCCAAATTTGTCCAATCACAAGGGCTCAGAAATTGTTGTTTCATGGAATAATGATGTTGTGGGCACCTATAGGTTTGATTTTTTTCACTATAAAACTGATTCGAAGAAGTAGCACACCACTGTATATTTGATTGTCAGTTTCTTATAAAAGAATCTGCAAGTTGTTTTAGATCATTGTTCCTTAGATGCTGATTTTTAAATCACTTTGAGTCTTGTTAAAATGCAGACTCTAACTCAGTAGGTTGTTAGAGAGAGTCCTGAGAGTCTTTATTTCAATCAAGGTTTTAAGTGATAGGAACCTGCTATTCTATGGGCCATACTTTGAGCAGCAAGAGTTTTGAGTCAACTCCTGAGGTTCATCTGAAAACATTTATTGAATTTTCTAATGGTAGCAAGTAAAAGATTTAAAACCAGCAAGCTCATTTTAAGGTCAAAAGTGATAAAAATCACTATTCATTACAAATGAAGGAAAGGATTTTCTTAGCAAAACTATAATGTTCACTTTTAAATGACACCAGGGCAAGTGGGAAAAGTGCACAACAGAAATTCCCAGGAATGTAGCTCTCTAGTGAGGGAAGAGAGGTTGAATAAAGGATGTGAGGTGTGCCAAAGCCATCATGGCTGAAAGTCTACTCTATTATTTTTCACGTGTATCATTTTGGATTTGACTTGTGCAATGAGTAATGTCATTCTGCTGAGTTTCCACATTCTGAATGAAGATGATCTGAGATTTGTGTCCCATGGTTTTATGGGAATGAAGTGTGAAGTATCACCATGACCTTTTGGGGCTGTCCTAAGATTGTCCTTGACAATATATAATAAAAATATAGATCATTTTATGTTGAACCAAACATTGGCAATCAAAAAACCGTAATGGTCCCTCCAAATCTGAGAATCTAGGCCACCATAGGTGAAAGATATCTTAATCAGTTAAATCAGTTAAGGCAAGCTTGGACAGTGAGCAACATTGAATAGAAGATGGCTTTAGTCTTATCTTCACCCCCTCCTTGAGTTTGAATTCTTTCTCCACCACACACCAGTTGTGTGGTTTTATGCAAGTTATTTAACTTCTGTTAGTCTCATTTATCACCATCTGTGAGATGGGTATAATGACACCTACAACATTCTGCTAAATTTAATGATTTTTTTTTGGTGGTGCTTGGGTTTGGACTTAGGGTTTTGCACTTGCTAGGCAGGTGCCCTATTGCTTGAATCACACCTCCAGCACAAGATGGTTTGTATATGAAGCCAGTTACCACACATGACTTACACAGTAAATGTTTCTTAAAATTTTGTACAAAGTGACATTTCAAAATAAGGTACATAATAATAAGAATAGCAGTTTGTAAATGGTGGAACAGGATTTGATGATCTGACTTCCGTGCTTGTATTTATAACCACTGCACTACCCTGGGCATATCAGTCCCACTTAATGCTAACAACTCTTTCTCAAATTTGAGCACTCATTTTATAAAGTACAATGATTCCACTTGAGATTCTAAAGAGTTAAGGGTAACATTGGACACAGAGTAAGGTGTGAGAGTAGAAGTCAGCCAGACATGGGTTTGAGACCAGCTCTGCGCAGGGTAAATTAATTGAAGTCATAGTTTTTCTTCATTTGAAGAAGAATAAGGATAAAGGTTTACCACATATATTTGAGAGTCAAATAAGGCATGTAAAAAATTACTAGCATTGCATGATCAACAACTGCCATTATTATAGTGCCTTGGAATAATAATTTAGTGGGATGCTTAATTTTCTTACTCAATTGCAAAATTTTAAAGTATCATGTATTGTCAGGTACATATAAAATAGAAAAAATGGGTACACATTTTCTCCTGTATTTAAAAAATAGTAACATCTTAGACCAGTGCACTGATTCTGATCTTTGTTTCTTTTTCTTTGGTACTGGGGTTTGAACTCAGGTTTCACGCTTGCTAGGTAGGTACTCTACCACTTGAGCCTCTCCACTAGCCCTGACTGTGGTTTTCTTACTGGCTATCCAGTAGGAGAAATATGCTGCAGTGATAACAACACCCATTATGGTGAATTGGAAAGACCCTCAAAACTATGTCTTTACTACTAATCTCATAGTCAGACATCATGGGAACTCAGAAATGCCTGCCCAGAGACACAGCAGGATAGGATGCACATTAATATATTCCTGCTTGCTGCTGACTTGTACATCTGGAGAGGAAGTGGAAAATCCATTTGTGATGTGCCAAAACACAGTTTAAATTGGCTTGCCAATTTAGGATAGCCAAATGTTTTTTCATCAATGACATCTTCCAAAGCAATCAGCCACAGTGTGTTCAAACCTCAATGGAGATTTCATTTGGGGGTAGCAAGTTATAAAATTGAATATTTTCAGATTCAAAGATCTGTGTTAGGATAGCCATCAGAAGAAATGTTGGGATTTTTTCCTCCCTGGTTTCATTTGAGAAATAGCTTTACATCTAGAACATCAAACTGCCTAAACATGACTTGTGAAGTCGCTAGAGTGGATCCATCTGTATCTACATAAACAAATGACCATGTTCAAAAAGCATGAAGAAAACAGGAAAAATTGAAATGAATAAATTGAAATCAGATTCATTTGTTTACTTTTTTCATCCTATAAGAATTCTTGAGCCTCTATTTGTGCCCAACACTGGGAATACTTATGTATTCCTCTGGCAACTTTACCTACACACGTACACCACTAGTAAGTTAGTCTTTATGAAATCTATGTCGAATGAGGACTATTAAGACCCCATTCATCTATGAGACTCGTTACTATTGTAACTTACTAGCTAGTGACTGTTGAACCTGGGAGGGTGAACTTGGGGGCCAGATCTCTAATCACCAGCCTGGGCTACCTTTCAAAACAGTCATGGTCCTGACCTCCCTGAATGCTCAAGTCTCGTAGGGGTCATATATCACGAGCAAGGCTGTGATGGAGAAGGTAGGTTATCTGAAAAGTAGAAGGTCACCTAACTTGGATTCTAGGGACTGTGTAATGTCCCCAGAGACATTTAAATGGGGACTGATAAATGAGTAGGAGCTGTCAAGGCTTAGAGAAAAGAAGTAGAAGAGAAGGGAGGAAACTCTTGACTTGGACCTGAGTGATGAGAGCTATGAGTGTAGGACTAAAGAATACTAAGTATGAGGGTTGGTGTCGTGGAATGAGTTGGAAGTCTTGAGTGTGGTGTCTCAACTTCCAAGCTTTTTCACTCTTAGGTAAGGGACTTAGCTGTCCCTAACTTTGTCTCCCACATTGGTAAACTGTGGATATGCTGTCTTCATGAGGCTCCTGTAAAAATTACACAAAATAAAGACATAAAACTATATTATTACCTTTAGTACTTTTCTGCATTAAATTTAAACTGAAATTAGTTCAGTTGTTTCATCCATGAGAAACATCTTTGTTTATAACTTTGCCATCTACTTTTTTCTCCAGTCTTTATGGAATAAGTGAATTCAGTTCTTATTTAAGTTCTTAGCCCATGCAAATAATCGTAAGTAATTCATCTTCTAACCCAAGTCTCAGCAATCTGATTGATAAAGTGAGGTAGTTGAACTTCAAAGCCTTCTGATTGCTAATGTTACGTAAGCTATGAAAGTCCTCAGAGTCAGTTTCCCTAATTCAAATTCCGATTCTCCCAGGTACTTGCTGTGTGACCTTGAGCAGTTTGCTTAAACTCTCTTACCTTAACTTCTTCATTTGTAAAATTAGGATAATAGTAGTATCTATCCGATAGGAATAGTATGAGAATTAAATCTGCGCAAAGTGCTTATAACAGTGCTTGATCCACAGTAGGCACGATTAAAAGATACTTGTTACTTTTATGAGCTTCTTAAGTCACGTGACATCAATATATGCGCACCAAATACAAGCCATTTCCCGGGTCAACAGGAAACCCAAAGTAGAACATGAAGTTTAGAATGTCTTCTTAGTGCTCAGCACAGGATGATCAGCCAGTGACATTAATGCAGGAGGTAGCAGGCCTGACAGCGGCACTCTCGTGTGCTCCCCTAAGAAAACAAGGAGCTTCAAATTGATAGTCTGAAATAATAAAGAGCCAGAGCACGGGAGGAAAAAGCTACATTGGAGTTGAGCCTACTGGGGAATCTCAGTTCCTTTTCAGAATACAATGCTGAGTGAGAAGTCCCACGGTCAACTAAACAATCTTCACACAAAGGGCCAGAAAATATAAACAAACTATTTAGAAAGAACAAGAGCATGAGACCAGAGAAATTTTCATAGGAACCCAGGAGACTATCAGAGAGAGCATGAAGTTCACAGGTTGGGATGGCTAAATGAAGCACCTTGTTAATGTGAGATGGAGCTCCGTAAAGCCACTCCCCAACACCATGCTTCCCCAATCCCTGCCTGCCTTCCCTGCACAGTTAATCCATTTTAGTACCATCCAGAAAAGTAACATTCACATCCATATTACAAATGTCAGCACAGCAGTGTTGCCACTTATTTATATTTGAAGGAAGGGGCTTACAGTCTATCATTAATATTCCTAACAACCTTTATGATAGATATTATTACTTCCAAATTATAGGTAAGGACAGTGAGATTTGCAGAGGTGAAGTAAACTCACTTAAAAAGGTCCAGTAAGTGGCAGAGATTCAAGCACAGACTGATTCCAGTACTCATATTTTGCTCTGTTCTGTGCAATCCTCCCTCTGGGTTTGCCCCAAGTCATCTTCTGCACCAAAGCCATTCCCATACCTGGCCACACAGGGTTGTCCTGGTAGGCTACCATGCTTGGTTTAGTAGGTACAACCCACAGCCAAGGAAAAAAAGCTAACAATCTAATGCCCAAGCCCTTAGAGAGTAGTTTAGGGGCATCTTCTGCCCTTGCAGGGTAGCTGTTAAAGCCAGAGGTGCACACAGCACTTGAGCAGTCTCTCTCAAGTCACCCATTTAAAAGTCACAGGTGAAACGGGAACTAAGGCACAGCAGATTCATCCCAAGGTCCTCAGTGGGAGTCTGATCTGCAAGGCTAGGTCCTGAGCTGGAACTCTACAGGAATTCATACCTGAGGGTACAGGTATTTTGATACTGATTTCTAATTTAGGTGCATTCTGGTCAGAGAATTTCTTATTCCTGGAGATATGCTTTGTGGCTTAATAGGGAGGTAATATTCTTGAAAATAGCATGTATTCAGACAACCGAGCACATGGTTCTATGGATAGTCAGCAAATCTTTAATAGTGCTATTCAAATATTCTATGCTTTTCTTTAGTAGTTTTCAATCTGTTTGATCAGTTAGTTTCTGAAAGTTTTCCACTATGCTTGTAGATTTGTCAGTTTCTTCTTCCTTTAATTCTCTTAGTTGTTGTTCCCTGGGTTTTGAAGCTCTCTTGTTAGTCACATGTACAAGTTCAAGATTATTTTATCTTCCTGAACAAGATACGTGAATAAAATCTTCTAATTTTTTGTAAGATGATCTCTATCTCTGAATATTTCAGGAATTAGATTTTTTTCTGATGTGTGTAAATGTTATAAAACAAGTTCCTTGTACTTAGTATTAGTTTATTAGTATTTTTCTATCCCTTTATTCTCAATCTGATATGCCGTTTTGTTTAATATGTAATTCATGAAAAGAGTACATGGTTATATGTACGTGTTTTAATTCATTCTGAGATCCTCTGTTTATTTTACATATGTTTGACATGTCTTTTGCCTTCTTATTCTGTCTTTCCTCTACTATGCTAATCTTCAGACTTATTTGTTCTCACTTTAGTCTTTTGCTTACTACCATGCTGTCTTGTTCTTCATGTTTAGGAAAATTATACATGCTGTTTTTTCTTTTCATGGTAATTCTTATATTTCTAGTATTGGCTTAACTTTAAAAAGCATAAAGTTAATTTTCCTCATTTCACAGAGTAGTTCTCTGTAGATTATGATACAAATAAAGGAATTAAAAAACTGTTGTAGCTAGGAAAATGTTTTATATATAAATAAATAAATATATATATATATATATTTTTTTTGCTATACTGGGGTTTGAACTGAGGGCCTCATGCTAGCACTCTGTCACTTAGAGCCATGCCTCCAGGTCTTTTGGCTTTAGTTATTTTTTGAGGGTAGAGTCTCTTCTTTTTGCCCAAGCTGGCCTTGGACCCTGATCCTCCTACTTTTGCCCTCTTGAGTAGCTGGGGTGTAGGTATTCACTGTATAAGATTTTATTCACAATTCTTTTTTTTTCCACTTTGATCTCACTTTAATGTTATGAAATGAAAGTGTACAAAACTGATCAGGAGAGAAGGGGATAAAGGAGAATGATGGGGGGGTGAATTCAACTATGATATATTGCAAGAACTTTGATAAATGTCACAGTGTGCCACCAGTACAATAATAATAATTTTTTAAAAGAAAATATGCATCATTATTATAGTTTTACTTTCATAAGATATACTGATATTTATAACTCCCTTCCTTCTTCCACTAAGTATTTAATGTTTTCTTTTTTTAATTATAAAATTTTTATTAGGATATAGTCATTATTCGGGGGGGTGGTATTTGTAGTGACAATTCCAATTAGACTTACATTGTACATTATTTACATTGCCCCCATCGTCTCTCCCCCTCAGGCCCCTTTCCACCCAACTTAAAGCAACTGCAAGAGGTTTTTTAGTTCTGTTTCATATAGGTATTAGAAGTCCATCAGCCATATACTATACCTTAATCTCCTTCCTTCACCCTCTCCCTCCCACTGATACTCCCCCTCCCCCCACACTGTGTCTGTTTTTCAGTCCTGATTTTCGTTGTTAATATTTGAGTTAACGTTCAAAGGGGTATATCAATATATGCCCACTGTGGGTGTGCTTTACTTTGGTCTGTTCAATCCTTTCGAATACTTTCCCTTATCCCTTTACCTCCCACCCCCTGTTTTTTAACAGTTTTCAGTACACATCCTTACATCCTCTACATGTACATCTTATGGCATGCTGATGCTCTAGCATTCTCTTTTCTTTTCCCTCTTTCCCCAAGTTCCATAGAGTAGTTCCACTGTTACAAACATGTTGTACATCTGAGTTTGTATATGATCATGCTTGTTTTTGTACATATGTTTATTTTTTGATCCATCTTCCACATATGGGGAAAACAATCCTCTTTTGTGTTTCTGATCCTGGTTAACTTCACTTAGCATAATGTCCTCCAATTGCATCCATTTACCTTCAAACCCCATGTCATTATTCCTTATGGCTGAGTAATACTCCATTGTGTATATGTATCACAATCTTGTGAACCATTCTTCAGTTGTAGGGCATCTGGGTTGTTTCCAGAGGTTGGCTATTGTGTTAGTCACATTTCTTCTCCAGTAAACCAAGGAACTCAGGCAATGTTGTATTCCAAGCCTGATACAGGGATTTTTCAACTTATGATTTTATAAGCCAAATATAGAATATCCTACTTCCCTCCTAACACTGTCCATCCCTCCTAACACTGTTAACATACATGAACTGTTCATGTATGTTAACTTGGTGGGGATTGGAGAAAGGCGGAAGATTCACAGGTGATATGGTTTATAGTTAACATCAGGAATTTAGTAATAGATGTTAATCAACACAAAGTCTTTACTTTCCCAATCAGTTACATGGAAAAGTTATATTTATATATATTGTATGTCTATCTTTATATTTTTACAGAGGAAATGACTATTCCTTTCATCAACTCCTTAAAAATGTACATAACCTCATGATCTATTAGCCACCATTGATTTTCATATCATAGAAACCAGTCGACTCTTGGCCAGTGCCAGGTTTCAGCTCAATGTTTGGCTGCTCTTGGGGAAAATGTATGATCTCATTTTGATATTTATTTTCTCTCTTTTAAAAGCTTCCTTCCTACCAGCTACTTTAACTATGACTGTGGACAGGGGAGATAATGTGAATATATCTTTCAAAAAGGTGTTGGTTAAAGAAGAAGATGCAGTGATTTACAAGAATGGTGAGTTATGTGGTTACTTCCTTCCAGCACCATGGTGTCTGACATGGGATGACACGGGTTGTATTGGATCATTATCCTATTACAATTTCATGGGCAGATGTTTAAAGTAATGCTGCTCTCATGCAAGCTAATCAATTCTCTCTATGATAGAACCCTCTTAGGCAATGTGTTTAGTTCCCTAATCAAATAAATCAAAGTATGGATTCAAATACACATACATAGGCACACACATTGTACATTTATGGATGTATGTACATACAGTAAAAGCCCATCATAATTTGGTAAGTGGGATCCTAAATTCAGCCATGTAAAATGTGAACTTGTCTGGTTATGAGGTTATTTGATTGTGAGGACAGATGAGGGAACTAGAGTGTTTGAGTACAACCTATTGTTCTATGTTTTTCTCTTACCAGGTTCCTTCATTCATTCAGTTCCCCGGCATGAAGTACCTGATATTTTAGAAGTGCACCTGCCTCATGCTCAACCTCAGGATGCTGGAGTGTACTCGGCCAGGTATATAGGAGGAAACCTCTTCACCTCAGCCTTCACCAGGCTGATAGTCCGGAGTAAGTGACTGAAAGGCCACTATCTGTGATGGTGGAGTTGTTAGGATTTTTAGTTGCAAGTAACTGTTGCAAGTGACTCTAAGATACTTAAGCAAAAGCCAGGGATTGGTTAGAAAGCTACTAAAGATTCTAGGAAATTGATGGAAAAACCAACAAGCAAGTTCTAGAAAAGACAGGCTCCAAGGAAGATCTTGGTTTCAGTAGTGGGTGGCTGTGGGGTGGACTTTCTGTCTATAACACTGCCATTATTAGAGCTCAGCTTCCACAATGTTTCCTTTACTTCTGGATTGCAAATTCCCAGGAGAAAGAATAAGATTGGCCTAACATATATAGGATGTCCCAGCCAAGGCCAAAGAGTTCTGTAGCAGGACCTACTGTGCTACTGTTACAGGCACTAAGAGCTCACACTTATAATAGCAGGGTCATCCCCATAAAAAAGGGGAATCCACTGAGCAGGATAGTCTTCTTAAAAGGTGTCTGCTAAAGAGGGATGAGTTTGGGCCTCCTGATTGGGCTAACCTCTAAATAAACATTATTTCCTGTGAATCCCACACTCGCCAGATACATTAACTCTCAAATATGATTTTATTTTTAGATTTGAAAAATGCAAGAGTTAGAACTTAGTGGAAACTTCCCCACCTACATAACCATCAAAGTGGAAGTAACTTTTTTTTTTACAGGAAATTGATCTATAGAAAACAAGAGATTTGCTCTCAGTTTTCCCCAGCCATGTCAGGATATTTGTGCTCTTAAATATTCAGATTTTCAGGCCTAAATCCATGGGCCACTCTGTCATTCATCTGATGATTGATATCTTTAATTCACATGATAACTTATTTTGCTTTGCATTATATTCATTCATTCAAAAAATGTGTTGCTCATAATTCTGTGCCAAGCATTATGTTGGTACTGAGAACAGAGTATAACAAGCTAAATCCCTGTCGCTTGAGTAAACCCAGTCAGAGCAGGCCCATACGTAATTAGATAAATAGATATTGCAGTCTAGCAATAGAAGGAAAGTATGGTTCATCTAGTTTATGCCCCATGCTAAGCAACCTCTATGGGTTTTTCTTTATTTATTAGTCTATATTAGTTACATGGAGGATTCATTGTGACATTACATAAGTGCTTACAATATAGCAAGGTGTTTTATAGGCAGGATTATTTGAGCTTGAGTCACAAGGAATCTGCCCATGTTTCTAGGACTTGGTTTCTCTTGAATGACTTCTGTACTTCTTTCCTATCAAATGCCAGTGCAGTACTATACAAGACCAGTCCTTGAAAAAAAGGTCGACTTATGATGATTATAAAACTAGTGTTCAGCTTCCAGTAACTGGCTTCTCAGTTACCTCTATGAGAAGTTTCTATTGACTTGAACCCTTTTAATTACCCCTTTATTCCACTACACAGGAGAGTCCAAGTGGCAAGGAAGCAATTTGCATTCATTTCACCCAGGTAGTTTCTGGTCTGATGCAACATCCCGTTCAAAAGGATTGAGAGTCAGGGGTAACTGGGGTATTGTTGTCTTGGAATATGGTTGCTTGCCAATGGAAAAAAAGAGTGGATTCTCCTACTTTCTTTTCTCACTAAACACAACACTTCTGACAGTAGTTGTGTGGTGTCCCCCACCTCTGCCACACACACAACAAGCAATTCTTCAGTGCACATCACCTGGGTATACTACGGTTTAACTCAGTTCTCTGTCTACCTTGAGGTAGCGTCAGATGCTATATTTTAAGACGGCTCCCCGCCGCCACCGTCACTAGATGGTAGTCTCAAGTTGTGACCAGTGCGTCTGACTGACTTGCTATAAATCAAGGGTTCTTAAGACCTTCTTCTTGGGTTTGATTAATTTTCTAGGGTAGCTCACAGAACTCCAGGAAACACATTACCTTATTACAGAGGATATTGCACAAGATACAGATGAACAGCCACATGGAACAGATGCACAAGGGAAAGGTGTAGTGGGGCGAGTAGAGCTTTCTATGCACTCTCCAGGTGCACTACCCTCCAGGAACCATCTGATCCTGAAGATCTCTGAATCTTGTCCTTTGGGTTTTTAATGCAGGCTCCATTATGCAGCTGTGATTAGTTAAATAATTGTTCATTGGTAATCAACTCAACTCATTCTTCAGCCTTGAACTTCTCTCCAGAGATTGGGGATGAAGCTGAATGTCCCACCCCTCCAATCATGCTTTGTTCTTTCTGATGACCAGCTTCTATCTTGAAGCTATTCAGGGGCCCCTGACCATCATCTCATTAGCAAACATGGGGCACTAACACTTTGTAAAAGTCCAACGGTTTTAGGAGCTGTGTGCAGAAACCAGAGACTAATATGTATTTCTTATTTATGTCACAATATCACAGAGGAAAAGGCTAACAACTGTTTTAAAATGTCAGAACAAATGACTTAGTATAGATTAGAATTTGAAACTCACCTGAAAATTTTAAGGTAAAGTTAAAGACTTTAACACATTTTGATCTCTGAGCTGTCTCTTTCCTGGTTGCCTGGAGTACATGTTCATTCCACTTCACTATTAAGAATATTTAATGAACTCATTTGAGAAGCACTGCTAGTACCAAAAATCATTCTATGGAAGTTTGAGTTGGGTTGTAATCATATTTAGGACTATTTTCTCCAATATGATTTTGTTGATGGTTAGTAAGAAATGAGGTAAGCTGAAAGTACTTGTCCATTTCTCATAGCTGTAGGAATCTCTCTAGGATTAATTGAAACTTAGAAGTAGATAATACTTACAGATTTTGTATTAGAAATCATGTTGATGATACTTACAGGATTTCTTTTTGGAATGTATTTATTCCCTGACAAAAGATTTCTTTAAAAAATACAGGTTTTTCTCTTTGGGTGTGACAAAGACATGGTTTCTTAAAATACAGAATCACAAGACTTTTGAAGAAAATAACAGATACCTGATGAATACTTTATTGATTATCAGCAAACTCTTCCTGGCTTCTCCATCCCAACACCCTTGACCTTCTAGAGCTTTATTCTTTCCTCTTCCTGGGATTAATAGTGAAGCTGAGATAGGTCTACAGGTAGACAAAGGCTGAAAAACACAGCTTCATGTAACAGGAGGCCCATTTCAACTGCATTGTCTGCCATTATTTCCTTTTGATGTTACTGGGGTTTGAAGCTTGGTGCTTGCCAGGTGGGCATTCAACCACTTGAGACATACCCCCAACACTTTTAGGTATTTTTCAAATAGACTCTTACATTTATGCCCAGGCTGTCCTGGATTGCCATCCTCCTATTTATGCTTCTTGCATAGCTGGGATGACAGGAACACATTGTCACACTCAGCTGGCTATTTATTGGTTGAGATGGGGTCTTGTGAATATTTTTCCAGGGCTGGCCTCAGACCCCTCATGCCTGGCTGTCTGCCATAATTTCAACATGTGTAAATAACCTGTGGCCTGGCTCTCAAGAAATCACTAATTGTACAGAGCCTTACCCTCTTTATATATTAAGGAATATAAATACTAGCTTTTACATTTTGTAGCTTTATCTGTTAAGTGGAAGCCTGCAAGAAATGGTCTGTGTTGACAGTCTTCCTGATTATTTTAGTGAAAATACTGATAATCAGGAGTTCTTGCTGAAGAGATTATAAAGTGACATCAGCTGTAGGCACAGGTCCAGGTTTACCACTGTGAAACTAATGTTCAGGGACAAAGACACTTGTTCACTTCAGATGACAGATGAAACTATTTATTGACCAGAAATTTATCCCAGCCCCCTGCCCCCTGGAAGTTTCTTATATTAGAAGGCATCCTTGTATCTAATTAACTATACAAAATCACCAAGTACTAGAGAGAAGTAACCAGGAAAGATGAACTTAAAAAGATTTTTTTTTTACCATCTTTGTGCAGCTGATTTTGTGTCTCATGTCACAATGTACTTTCTAGCTAAATCATATTGGATACTACTAGCCACTCCTTTCTTTTTTTGGCCTTATCCCTCTTTCTCACACTTTACACCCGAGGTTTTCATACTTCAGCATGCATAAGAATCACTGAGAAGGCTTATTGGGCAGAAACTGTGAGAATTTCTTATTCATAGGTTGGGTTTGGGAGGGTCTGAAGTTTGTACTTCTATCAGATTTCCAGGTAATGAAAATGCTACTGTCAGGGACCACACTTTGAAGACCACTGCTGTCATCTCTGACTATACATGCAGCTCCTTGTACAAGTTAAGCTCTTCTCCCCCACCCTGATTCTGCCTTGGACACATTCTCTAGATTTACCTTCTTTGATGCTGAGGTGGTCCTTTTCCTGCAGATTTAGCTCACATCCTACCTCCTATGGGAAGCCTTCCTTTGTGCCCTCTTCTGTCTGCAAGGTGGGATTTGGCACTCCTTGTCTTTGTTTTTATTGTTCTTTTCTGTTTACATGGCTAGCTCCTATATTGGAGTATTAGCTTTTAGAGAGCAGAGACTATATTTGATCTTCATTCACCACTGTCCACTAAAATGACCACATAATAGGTGCTCAAGAAAGGTTTGTTTAGTAAATCTGTTCTACTCATATTTCCTTGTTTTCCTTAACAAAAGGATGTGAAGCTCAGAAGTGGGGACCTGAATGTACCCGTTTCTGTACTGCTTGTATGAACAACGGTGTCTGCCATGAAGATACTGGGGAATGCATTTGCCCTCCTGGGTTTATGGGGAGAACCTGTGAGAAAGGTAAGTGAGGAGTACTTGATGAGTAAGCTATGGGTTTATTGATTCATTGACTGACTGGTTTCTTAAAACAGGGTCTCACTATGTAACCCAGGCTGGTCTCAAACTCTTGATCCTCCTGCTTCAGCCTCCCAATTTAAGGAATTATAGGTATGTACCACTATTCCTGGCTCTAAACTGTGGGTTTTAAACATCATCATTACTGGATCTAGAATTTTAAATGTGGACATAGATAAGAAGGGAAGCTAAATGACCTCGTATTAAGGTCAATTGATACCTTTTGTGTGA